TACAAGCTGTACACTGACTACTTTAAGTTATATCAAAGTGTCATTTCTATAGTGTTGTCCCATGAAAAGATATAATAAAATATTTCCAAAAATGGGACGGGTGTACTCACTTATGTGAGATACTGTATTTTTTTTTTCAGTTTCAGTTTCAGTTATTCACATTTCACACAATGTCCCAATGTTTCTGGAATTGGGGTTGTATAATTGTGGCAGGATTGCAATTCTGGGCCAAATATCCCCCAAATGCAGCAAATTAAATGTAATGGACTCTGAGGGATACAGGCCTGCTCTTAGAAAGGCTAAGTTGTGGCCCAGTTGTGGCCCATGTTAAAGCCGACCTCAGAGCTCACAGTTGTGCCGTGGCTGTGGTCGTGCAGCCACATTCAGATGATTTCATCACTCAGAGATGTGTCTTATTGTAAATCAAACTAAATTATCTGTTATTTAGTTACCCCCTTCTCACAAAATAGCAGTTGATGTGCACAGCCGTAGGAGGAAGACATGAATAGAGAAGTAATCGTCACCTGATTTGACTGACGAGGTTTGTCTGAAAATGCTGGCAGATTCAGATGTTCCATAGGTCTTAATACTGTTAATATGATTAATGCTGTTACTACAACTGCCAACTGAATTACCACTGGTTGTGTATGTGTGTGTGTGTGTGTGTGTGTGTCTGTCTGTGTCTGTGTGTTCAGGAGGACGTCGTGGCGTCCAACAGTCTGGAGGACGAGCTGGAGGTGACCACCTACTGGTGGGGGGAGTGGGCCAAGTGGACGGCGTGCACTCGTGCCTGTGGAGGGGGAGTGATGTCACAGGAGAGACACTGCCTCAAACAGAGGTCAGTCAGTCTGCGCGCGCACACACACACACACACACTCACAGATTTGTACTTCTATACATTTTGTTCTTTTACATCTACATTAGAGCTACTCAAAGTGTTTTATTAAAGATCTACATGTGAGTTTTACGTAAGTTCAGACGTCTGGAGCAACAAGCCAAGCAGTTCTCTATAATGTAATAAAACATTTCCTACATTGAACCTTTTCGTTTTCCTTACAGAATCTTCTGTTCTCTCTAATGAGTTCCCTTTTCATTACAAACTTTAAGAACCACATCTTGCCGTCATCATTAGCGATAAAGTCTACACATCACCGACAGACAGTAACATCTTCTTGTCACAGCAGTGACCTGCTCCTTGTGATGGGACCTCGTTCAGTCACACTGGCAATGGTCAAAAACGGTAAAAAGTTTATTCTTACACAATCTAATGAGTTAAACTTTGTGTCCAGACCAAATTGATTTGTAGTTCTGGTCCCGAACCTGATGTTAGTTCAAACTTTCAGAAGTCCCATACAGTTTTGCCTTACCCAGAGGCATCATGTTTTGGGGGTCGTCCGTCCATCTTTCCTTGCATGCGTACATATGTACGTTCATCCAATATTAGGTGAAAGTGATAATCCAAGAACACTTTAAGAGAATTTCTTCAAATCGGGCATAAACGTTCACTTGGACTCGAGGATGGACTGATCAGAATATGGTGTTCATAGGTCAAAGGTTAAGATTACTGTGACCGCCTCCGTCTCATTCTCGTAAAAGCGATATCTCAAGAACACCATGAGGGAATTAGCTCAGATTTTGCACAGACATTCACTCCAAGAATGAACTGATTTTGGTGGTCAAAGGTCAAAGTCATTGTGACCTTGTGTCCATCTTATTCTCCTGAATGAGATATCTCAAGAACACCTGAAGGGCATTTCTTCAAATCTGGCATAAATGTCCACTTGGACTCGAGGATGGACTGATCAGAATTTGGTGTTCATAGGTCAACGTTAAGGTCACTGTGACCTTCTCCGTCTCATTCTCGTAAATGCGATATCTCAAGAACACCATGAGGGAATTAGCTCAGATTTTGCACAAACATTCACTCCAAGAATGAACTGATTTTGGTGGTCAAAGGTCAAAGTCATCGTGACCTTGTGTCCATCTTATTCTCCTGAATGAGATATCTCAAGAACACCTTGAGGAAATTTCTTAAGATGTGGACTTGGACTCAACAATGAATAGATTAGAATTTGGTCAACAGTCAAAGGTCATTGTGACCTTGTCTGTCTCATTCTCGTGAACACAATATCTTAAGAACACCTTGAGGGAACTTCCTCAAATTTGGCTAAAACATCCACTTGGAAATGAGAATAAACTGATTAGTATTTGGAGGTCTTTATGACCTCAAAAACATATTTTTGGCCGTAACATTATGATCATTTGGCCATTATGACAAAATTTCACACAAATGTCTGATAGGATAAAATGATGACATTTTATAGCCAAAAGCTCAAAGGTCAACTTCACTGTGACATCATTAACGTTATGCAAAAACACTTTTCTGGCCATTGTTCAGCGTCATATCTCAGGAACAGAAGGGGAGACATTTGGTCAGATACTGAATTTGTGACACTAATCTTGAAGCTGTGCTGATTGTATAGATCTTCTGTGCTGCCGGGAGGAGATGTGTGAAGCATTCATGTTTTCACAGACATGGATGTGAACTGTAACTGCAACTTCACTGGTTCACAGAGGCGTGCAACTGCGAAGCAGTGATTCTAGTTTTTAATATGTTGTAATTTCTCCATTTTTTTTTTCTTATCCAAAGAAAGAAAGTTGCTGCTGGGAAGGACAACATGACCTGCACAGGAACTGCAAAGAAATACCATCTCTGCAACACTGAAGTGAGTCACAGACTTCCAGTTAATTTCTCGTCCCTTTATTTCACATCTTTATTAAAACAAACACAGCCCTTCTGACTGGCTGACAGTAGAGGTCTGTGGTTGTGGCGGACGGCCTCCAGGCGTGACTGCGTGGAGCTGTTTGAAAGTGAAGCCGGGCGGGGCTCAGAACCATGGTGCCCTCTCAGAAAACCATCCCTGCACAAATAAACGCTTAAAAAGAATTTATTTGTATAACATACTGTAAAACCGAGTCTTAACAAGTGTGAAACAGACCTCTTTTAATGGCCTGTGTTGTCTCTGCACTGCAGGAATGTCCTGCCACTGGGAGGAGCTTCAGAGAGGAGCAGTGCTGGTCCTTCAACTCCCAGCTTTACAATGGGAGGAACTACCAGTGGAAGCCTCTGTATCCTGGTATTAACACCCATAAAACACACTGACAACCTCCTTTTACCACATTAAACAGATCTGAGGTGACGGAGGTCTTTGCTGAGCTACAACATCCAAAACAGTAGCATCCTTTTTATGACTCCTTAAAACTTTAACTGCCTGTTAATACATGTTGTTTTAAAACAGGTTCCTAATTTAATATCTGGAAGATTTCTTTTTTATTTATTCACCTTGTTGGTGTTTATTTGTTAGTGAGTAATAATTAAAACAAAAGGTTGTATGAGTGACAATAGATCTCTGTGAGAGGTTTGTGAGGAATGTGAGCAGTGGGACAAAGCGGAGACACAAGGTTTTTGGGGGGTTTGTTTGATTTTCAATAAACAAACTCTTGGCTTTGAGAACATGACTCTCTTATCACCAAATTGGGACAATAAATACAGTATTGAAGTTTGTAACGGCATGATGAAAAGTTAGCGGGGAATATTTATCAGCTGCACTCTGGTCCATCTCAGTGCCACTCTTCCTCCCTCCCTCCCTCTGTGTCTCCCTGAAATTATAAATGAAAAGTTAAATGTTATAGTGACAGGGTAGGGTCCAGGACAGTGGCGTTTCATCTGATTTAAAATAAGTTTTGCTTTTACAGAATATTAAACCTCTTAAAACCCAACAGGTCGCCACTGGCCTCAGCTTGAGCTAGTTCTGCAGCCTAGCTAGTGGTCTGAAAGAAGAGTTCTCAATCTCAGCCCGAGCTCGATGGGTCCCGAAAAGTCAGATGGGTTGGACCAGGTAGAAAGGCAGAGGGAGATGTCAGGCTCTATGCCGGGCTGTCTGTCCTTCCTCCCGGCCGGAGCAGGGGGCTTCTCTGGCAGGGAACTACTGTGTAGAGAATCTGTGATCCACCAACTTAATCCATTTTCCACTGGAGATGCACGTGGCTTGGGCCATTACACATCCAGCATGTCCCAGGTGTTAGAGGCTGACCAGTGCTTTTTAGGAGGGTCAGACTTGGTTGATGTTGGGCTCAGTATTTTAGGTGATGATCTCGGACGGGCGGGGTTCCGGCTTCAACTCACTCGATTTGGGTTGTAATATTTTTGGCCAGATGAGAACTCTATCCTGAAGTCTGTATTTGCATCCACACTTTCATTATCTATGTCAAGATAATCCACAGACGTTGTTGTGAGCAGTAGGAACTATTTTCCTTTTACTGAGACACACCCACCCACCGACCGAATCACCACTTGGAAAGAAGTGTGCTAGCTCACCTTGCACTGAGCTAGCTGATGTTACAGCTCAGCCAAGGAGGACGCCGTTAATGTTTACCTTTCATGCTGTCCATGAGTAGATGCACTCTTCCTTCTGAGTGGTGATTCGGTCGGTGGGTGTAGCTCAGTGAAAAGACAATAGTTCCTACATGAAATTGCTCCAAACAGGGTCTGTGGATTATATTGAGTGATCGGGTCATGATTTCTGGACAGAGACATTGCTGTTGAGTTTTTCTAATGTATTTTTTGGCACTTCCATCAGCTGTCACTGCCCATCAGCAAACAGCAGACAGACAAAAGAAGAGTGAAATATCCAGCAGCCAGTTATTTAGCGGTTCGTGGAACGTGTAGGTAAAAGTAGAAATTGTGACCAGTGACCTCTGTCTTGTATTCCTCTCCAGACGACTACGTTCACATCTCCAGTAACCCGTGCGACCTCCACTGCACCACGACCGACGGCCAGAGGCAGCTGATGGTAACAGCACGAGACGGCACGTCCTGCAAGTACAGCAGTTACCGCGGCGTCTGCGTGGACGGTAAGTGTGAGGTGAGTCCAGCTTCTTCTTTACTTTCTACCTATTTTAATTCCCCTCAAACAGTTTCACTCCACTTTCAGTTTTCAGCACCACTAAAGGCACCACATCAAGTCTGTATGACCAACAAACCCACAGGAGGAACTTGCTGCAGCTCAGTTTTCTGGCAACAATGAAAATGAATAAGATGTAAACCCCTGAGCGTCATGGATCTTTCCTGTTTTCCTTTGCATTTTCTGTCAGATAGACCCATTTATGACAGCCTGCCTGTGATGCAAACATTTTATCCATTTGAGGGTTTTTCTGTCAATGATGTTTAGTTTCTAAGGCTGCGGATGATGCAGACACCTCTGCTGAACCACCAGGGACTCTTTTAGGTTGATAAATGGCTCCGAAATCTTAACATAAATAAAACAGTAATGCACATACTCTTTCAGATGATTCATTTTATGTCACACTTTATCTTATTCGATCACCTTCCAAAAGAATCTAATCTCGTGATTTAAAATATTTAATAGCTTGTTGACATTGTGCGTTTCTGCAAACCACAAATAAGTTACATTTGCATGTTTCATATGTATCGTATTAAAGTTTTTATGTGACATAGTATATGAGCTGACTTTGTCATCAGGAGGTGGAAGGGATGGTGGATGGTGTGGCACCTAGATGAGACGCTTTCCAAGCTGCAGACTGCTGTTTAAGACCAACAAATGTGGTTGTTTTAAGTGACCTATCGCTGTTTTTCTAGTAGCTTATTAGCCATCAAACGTGGGTGTTTTGTAGCAACCTATCACTGCTTTTGTTCAGTGGGGATAGTGCCATTTTTTATCAAGACATCGCTGCTTTTCCAGTGGAGATCGTGCCCTCCACACTGGGTATTGTTAAGCAAAAAGATCATTTTTTCCTAATCATAACCAAGTGGTTTTTGTGCCTAAACCTAACCACATGTTAACCATCATTGCACCCACTACATAATATGACTTATAGTAGACTTTTTAAAATCTTATCCTCTCTTCTTCCTCTTTCTGCTTTGCTGCTCAGCCAATCGGATGTGACGGAGTACTGTTTTCCCCCAATATCTTGGATAAGTGCGGGGTCTGCCAGGGGGATGGCAGCAGCTGCAGCAGAGTCACCGGAAACTTCCGCCGCGGGGCCACGACTCTGGGTGAGCTGGGTTCAGTTGTGCCAGGCTGTCCACCCATGAATATGAAGAGTAATATGTCGGAGTCCTTAGTGAGAAACTGAATTTATATTAATGTCACCAGGATTGGTCAGAATAATCTTATTTAAACATCATAAAATGAAAATAAAAAGGCAAAGCAAAAAAAGCACGAGGTGACACTGACTACTTTCTGTTTCCTGTCGTCAAGGTTACTCTTTTATTACTCAAATCCCTGAAGGATCATGGGACATCCAGATTATTGAGAGGAAGAAGTCAGCTGATGTTCTAGGTGGGTAATTTAAATACATGTAACTATTTATATTCCTTGATTTTACACATACATGCTCACAAAAGACAACAATGAACTGTCTTTTAAATGTTTAATGGAAATGCATGATTATAAGTCGGTGGAGAAAAGCATCTGTTCTCGGTTTTCCATTCATCTTGTCCCCCAGCTGTGACCGACCAGGCAGGCAACTTCTTCTTTAATGGGGCCTACAAGGTGGACAGTCCCCAGAACTTCCATGCTGCAGGCGCCGTCTTCAAGTACCGCCGGCCCATGGACGTGTATGAGACCGGGATTGAGTACATTGTCGCCAAAGGCCCCATCGACCAGGCCATCAATATTCTGGTACACTGGACCTTCCTCCAACCACCTCTCTCCCTTTAACTCTTCCTTCATGTATACGTAGTGGTCCCAAAATGTTTCAGTAGGCCCATACAGAAGTTTTTAAAAACCATTTCAACATGTTTTTATTTTCTGCTTTTGTCCTTAAAGGAAAACTCCACCAATTTTACACATCAAAGTATGTTGACAGTGCTTGAGGAGCATTGTGTATGTCAAATAAGTAGCATAAAGCCTTCGGTGTCTCCAGAGGGAGCTGTTCGAAGTCTAATAAATGTCCTCAGTGAAGTCTGAAAATGACAAAACACTGGACGTGTGGAGTTTGATAAAGTTTTCCAGACTTGCGTAGCCCGCTGCTCATCTCTGCTGCAGGCTCCAGGCTCCAGGCTCCATCAGCTGTAGGTGCTGGAGTTGTATTATGGGTAATGTAGGCACCTGGATTTGACAAGAAAGAAGAATGCATGCAAAACTCTGGTTCTGCTACGTGAGTGGAGTACTCTTTTAAGGCCAGCAGATGATGTAGAAACAAAGGGATGTTTTGTTGTTTTGGCCTCTGCACTTTTTGTTTGCTAATTGTAAAATAAGAAGTCCAAGAATGTAAGCTTTAGGCTACTGTTCTTAACTCTTGAACTTAATAAAGGCTGCTCTGATTAAGACTGCTGACTCAGGAGGCAGTGAAGACTGCCAACACTCGAGCAAACAAATTGAGCACAGAGGCTATTTGGAATATTTCCTGGCAACAAGATGCTCATGTGTGATTAAAGCAGTGATGTTGTAGCAGCTCAGCCTGTAGTGAATCAGAGATACCCATAATGTGTGTATCCTCTCCTTTTTAAGAGTGTCTGCTAAATGGCTGAGATAATGGTGAGTCTGTGTCTTGGGCTGATTGAGCACAGGCCTCGTACTCAGACAGGGGCCATATATCTCAAACAAGGTCCATGTCACAGGCCAGGTTTGATAGAGCTCTCTGCATGCCGCTTGATCACAGAGATTCTCCTGCACACTCACTGTGACTCTGCTGGTTCATCTCTGCTAACAGTTAGTTGGTTATCTTCGGGCTTATGAGCCAAAATGCATACCATGTAAAACGTCATAGACTAAGCCAGGATCAGTACACAACAACATGTATGTAATGCAGTTATGCATTTATGCTTAGATACGTACACAGACACGGATGGCTTCCACCTTAACATCTGCTTTGTCGATTTCCCGTCTCCAAAATGTTTGGAAGCATGGGTCAAAGTTTCTACCATCATCATGTTTCAAAGATCACAACTTTTGTGTGGGAAGTGACGTACGCCTCTCTCAGGCTTCGTTTTGTGCTTACGCAGTGTTTATAAATGAGACCCTTGGTGTGCAAAGGTCTTAACGTGATTTGACTGGCCTGAAACCTGTACAAAAAACCAGACCTTGACTTGACTCAGTCTACTCTCGTCACTCAGGTGTGGAACCAGAACGGTCGCACACCGTACATCACTTATGAATACACCGTCCTCCGAGACTCCCTGCCACCCGTTCCACCTCCTCCTGTCTACACTGGGTCAGACACCTCCGCTGGAGAGGTCTCTGTGGAGGTGGGGGGTCTGCTGACCCCTAACAGTAGTCTTTATGACGAGTTGGTCCCTGACAGCCAGATGGAGCCAGAAGGTGTAGATGGGCAGAAGGGCCAAGAGACTAACGAGGTGTATGAGGAGACGGCAGCCATTGACTGCGACCAGGATGGGGCAGCTGGCCCAAAATTTGCAGGTAAGGCCTGTTTGTAGCACCTTAAATCTGTGTGTGTTGTATGAGAATGAAATATTTCAGGCACCAGCAAATAACACAGAACTGCCTCCTACCAGATCCAAAAATGGAAGATACATTTTCTTACTATAATTTTTGCTACCTATCAGTTGACATGTATGCCAATAGCAATATATCTGTTATCGGATAATATTGTCCATGCTGATATATATTGGCTAGGCTGCCATCACAGCTACAAAGCTGTAGCCGAGCCGAAACCACCCTTCCTCCCATCGCTCGCAGGTCTACAGTCATATATTGCGCCCACCTGGTCAAACCACTTCCAGCTCTTTCCTTCTGAACCACTTATCTTGCCTCCTTATGTTCAAATGTTCCACCAAAACAAGTTGCTCCAGAAACTATTTTGTAAGGGCACCGTTGCCACATCCTGGGCTTAGCGCCGCCAAAGACGCCCAAGTTTTGTTTTTACCTTATCGCCATATTATGATGGGCTCAGCCAGACCTTTCTCCAGCACTAAAACAAAGTGTGGAGATAGGTCTGTCTGTGTGAATCTGCTCCGTGAAAGTGACGAGTCATGTGATGATTCTCTCTGATCAGTTACCTTTAACTCCACCCTCTAGTATCGGCTTAGCTCGCTTTAAACCTCAAGCGAAGTGGTACCAAAAGAAGTACCGGATACTGTCCACAGCTTTTTGCCAGTTGAAAACCAAATGAGTTGAGTTGAGTCGAGACGAGTCAAACTGTGCTGTACCATGCAGTTGAGATGAGGCATAAGAGGAAAAAAAGGGGGAAATGTGTGTGAGAAAAAAAAAACTGAAGGGAAGAGAAAGTTAGACAGAGAATAAATCAGAAGGTGGTTCAGTGGCCCATTGACAGATGAGATGAAATAGGTCAGATTTTACAGCCGATCCTTTATCTCACTCCTTTTTTCTGTGTGTGTGTGTGTGAGTGTGAGAGAGAGAGAGAGAGAGAGAGAGAGAGAGAGAGAGAGAGAGAGATATGGCCCTTTGGAGCTCTGCATTATTCATGCTACAGACACATAAAGAGGATCAGCAGCAGATGAAAAATTCAGAGTTTCGTGGTGTTTTTTTTCTCCCCCTTTTAAAAACGGCTGCATCACAAACATGAGCAGTAATGGCCTTCCTGCGGGCTCTCAGCTCGCTCAGCTGACTGTCGAGGCCATTACACCACCGCTTCGGGCGGTGAGATGAGATGGGGAGGTGGTTGAAAGGCTCACCGTACACTTTCTGCACAGGCTGACGTCATACTACAAACCACAGAGCGCTGAGTTTATCTTCTCTCCTCTGCTTTCTGTTTTCTTACTCCTTTGATATTTTTGATTCACTTGATGTTTTAGAAATTTCCTGCAAAAATTAGGAATTTTTTATTTTATTCTCTACAGGTAACCCAACAGTGCAGACTAGCACAGGCCTACTTATCAATCACAAAGTTCCACAAGATGAGTTTAGTTTCCTTTTGTACACTGAATTACCAGTTTATTAGGTACACATGTACGATATGATACAGTGCAATACAGCAGCCGGTGAATAAATCGTACCCTTGTGATGCTCAGTTTTTGTTGTCAGATAGAATTTGGGGTTGTAGTTGTGTTGTATTGGACTGCATGGTATTAAAATATGTTTCTGGTACTTTATCGTCCAATAGAAACCTGGTTTAAATTCCCTCAAGGGAACACTTCACCTCCCAAATTACCTTTTTTATATCAGTTAATCACCCTTTGTTACATAGGATCCGTGAAGAAAACTCAAACTCAAACTCAATCTAAGTCTCATTTATCCAGTTGTATGCTCAGTATTTCCCCAACAGACAGCTCTTCCCAACGAGACCTGAACAGAAAGCGAAACTAGTTCAGTGAGACAAAATTAGAGTTTATGTCGATGGAGCCTGACTTTAGAGAGCATAGATAAGTTTTACTTTCTGTTCAGTTTCTGCTGGGAAGGGCTGAGCATCAGAGTCCTACAGGGGTCCATTTTTGAAAACTCACACCTGCCCATACCCATAATGCTCAGCACAAGACCGACCTGTTACGCTGGAATTCCACTGGATGTGTGTCCGTTGCGGAACGGCTGCGCTGGTTATCCGCTGTGTGCTCCGCCGTCCGTCAAGTTTGCTGTGAGGAGCAGTGCAACCCACGAGATCTCGTGAATTCACGCATAATCACGTGATATAACAAGATGTAGTTTCTATAAACAGACACAGAGAGTAGTAGGAAGACATCTGAGTGCACCTCCATGATTAACATCTCGTCGTCCATGGTGTCAACAGGGTGAAATGACGTCTGAAAACCTCTGACCTGTTGACTTCAGGCCTGCCTCTGCCTATTATGACATTCAATCACTGCCAGGTTAGGAAACATGTTAGCATGCTCCTTCCACCACCATCAAACCTCCAAAGGATCCTCCTTGGGTGTCTTGAACTCCATGTAGGCTGCCACCTCATCCTCGGGCTGCAAAGTTTCATGGCTGAAGTCCTCCACGTCGGTGACCAATGTGACCACGGGGTCAAAGGTTACACTTGTGTCAAAATCAAATGAATTGCAGCTTAATTGTAGTGATTTCGATGTAAAAGATTTACACATATACTGCACTTCTTTTGGTTAAGTTTTCTTCTAAAAAAATAAAAAACATATTTTTGTTCTCACCCGCTGCTGGCCCGCATGTCGTTCATTTTAACCAGTGCCCATACCTGTGAATTGTATACCCAAGACTACATGTTTTATGGCTGTACTACAGGTGTATCAGTTCATACAGATTTTCCCCAAATCCAGCCTCATGTGTTTGGTATCTTTGGAAACGCTCAATCCGAACTACACGTTTAAGGTAAAATTCTGTGGGTTTTACACCAAACGTTCATCTTGACCATCATGACCGTCACACCGCTGGGTCAGTCATAGAAGTCGACACCAAAACAGCTGGGTTTCTCATAATCCCTCAACCTGATAAAGAAAAATTGGTTTTGCTTTTACGCAACCTTTAATATGTCAGGTTACTGCAGAAAGCAACAATATTTAGGGTATTAAAGTGCATTTAAACCTGTTTGAGTAGAATTCTGTCCAATAGATCATGATGACTGACAACAGCATCAACAATCCAAAATGACCATAATGTGTGTCAGCAAAGACTGAACAGTATAAGATTCACAAAGATGGAATGTTGGATGGGTTGCATCAGACTGTTCAGGTACAGGTGTGTTCAGACATCCACAGCAACAAAGAAACAGGAAGGTGTTACCAATGGGGAGCTGAGAAAGGTTTAGTAAAATTCCCTTGGAGAGTAACAATTGGACTCATGTTCATTTGACAGAAATACTAATCAGAAACCAGCGTCTGATCCGAGCTGAATATATAAATTACTTTTTCAAGTGCAACATGACCAAAAGCTTCATCACAGATTGTTCTTATAAGATTTAAATTTGCTCATAAAGCATGTCTGAGTTTTTCTACTTTGATCCATCAGAAGGAAACAGCAGTCATACAGGCAGCACTGCCAAACCTGTCCCTGCTGGAGGGCCCCTGGACATGGGGCCAGACTCCCCAAACCTCATCTGGAGGGTCCTGCTGGACGGCCGCATTAACCCCGACGAGCTGCTCATCAACATCTCAACCAATCAGCTGCTGACAGAGGGAGACAGTTTGTTCTCGTCAGAGTTGGGACCAGTGGACATGGACCTGAGCAGCCTGGAGCCGGACGGGCCGTTTGGTGTCAACGAGACGCTGGAGTTTACTCTGGGTCGCAAACGCAACGACAGCGGGGACGGTTCCTACCAGAACAAAACAGTGCAGGGTGGAGGGAGGAGCTCGAGCCGCTCCAACAGAACCAGGTAATGAGACAGAACACAGGTAATGAGACAGAACACAGGTAAT